GGGTGGTGGTGGTGCACGCCTTTAATCCCAGCACTCGGGAGGCAGAGGCAGGCGGATCTCCGTGAGTTCGAGACCAGCCTGGTCTACAAGAGCTAGTGCCAGGACAGGCTCCAAAAACCACAGAGAAACCCTGTCTGGAAAAACCAAAAAAAAAAAAAAGATTCTGTACTTTTTAAAAAGCTTCTCTGGCATAAGACATAGTTTGAGCAAGATCTTCTGACTTGTTTTTTTTTTTGTTGTTGTTGTTGTTATTTTTTTTAAATTTTCTTTATCTTCTCATCTACTGAACCTTCTTCTTAGAATCCTGTCATCGAAGAGTGACCTGCTAGTCCAGGTCATTTTCCTGGAACCTTTTATTAACAATCGTGATATTGTTTACTTTCCCTCCTATGATCCCTTGGGTATGTTTAATCTTCTCTTTAGTTCAAAGTGTTTCTTCTATTATCTTCTGTAGAGTTAGCTTAGTGGCCATAGATCCCTTTAGTCTGTTTTTATTGTTCTTCAATATGATAGATAGTTTATTGAGTGCCATAGTGGGTGGCAGATGCAACCTTTCAGAACTTGGGATAAATCTTTTCCAGGTCTTTTGGCCTTACGGTTTTTTATTGAATAATGTTATCCTGAGTGACCTGCTTCCATGTAAGATGTGGCCATTCTCTCCTCCAGCATCCATGTTCTCTATAGTAGGTGCCCTTGTTTTTGAGTATATGATATGAAGACCCTGTCTATCTGGTGTTCCGTCTGCCTCTTATAGCACAATGGGCATGACCGTCTCCATATGTGAAGATTTTCTTCTATGATTTTGTTATTCATACCTTCTATGCCTGTAACATGAAATTCTTCTTATACAACAATTTCTTTATTTATTCTTTCACTGATGTACCAAAACCTCCCAGGTTCCATTCCCATCTTCTCTTTAGTTTCGCTGACCTTGATAGAATGATTCAATTTCTGCACATTGTCTCTAAGCTTTGACATTTAGCCCTTCACTCTATCTGCTCTGTTGTTGAGGCTTTCCACTGGACCAACTGAGTTTCCATTTCAATCATTATGTCAGTTTCCTTTTTCAGTGACTTTGACTGAGTTCTGTTTCCCTAACTTGTGCTTCTTTTAGTCAGCTTCTTGTTTTTCTCTTGGGGAACATTCATGTCTTCATCAAACATAGTTATAATTTTTTTAATTCTTTGGAGAAGTCTCCTAAGTCAATATCATTGGAGGTCATTTTGACGGGATTGATAAATTTTAGAGAAAATGAAACATTGTTTTGAGGGCTTGTGTTTCATGTTTTTTTTCTGTCTTGGGATTTAGCATTTAAAGTTAATTTATTAGTTGGGTCCCTTTCTTTCTTCCTTTCTTCCTTTCTTCCTTTCTTCCTGGTCACCTTTCCATGGAGGTGTTTACAATGTTTAAGAGAGGACAAAGTCACACAAAACATACACACACACACACACACACACACACACACGCACACACATACACACACACACACACACACACACAGAGAGAGAGAGAGAGAGAGAGAGAGAGAGAGAGAGAGAGAGAGAGAGGGAGACTCATGCAGAGAAATCACAATTTCTCAACTGCTGAATTCCAAGATTCTGGAATAGATCTTGAGAAGGACCATAAGATCAAGTTATTGACCTGTTTGACTTTTTCCCACTTTGTCTCTTTCCTCCTAAGAGGCTGGAGGAGAGTCCAGGATGGGCACCAGGGAACAGAGAACCTCTACAGCTCATATGGAGCCCCAGGAGGGGTGGGAGACTAGAGTGATGTTTCAGTAGGACTTTTACCTGAACTCAGGTAAAAGTTCAGTAGGATACTGTAACTCAGGATCACAAAGAGGGCAGCAAGACAACACACCTATCTGAGTACCAAAAACAGTTACTGTGCTACAATGAAACCAGGACCTCCCTCCTTCAACATTTACTCTGTTAATACTGATGTGATAAGCAACGGGTCTGTTAAGATATGTCAACAGCTAAAGGTCACTGCATAAAAGAATGAAGAACCTAGAAAAATAGCCTTGCTCATGGGTGGGTTCTTCCTCATTCTCAGGCCCATGCTGTGGTTATCCTTCTATTATATCTTCACTATGGTTCCCTCCTGAAGTTATGACCATCAGTATGTGCTCAGCTGGGTACCTTCATGTAGTGTGGAGCTGCGGGCAGGCCTGTTTTTCGTCGTGCCCAGGTCCCACATGGTTAGCTTTACACCCGAAATAACAACACACAAACTGTATTCATATAAACACTGCTTGGGCCATTAGCTCCAGCCTCCTACTGGCCAACTCTCACATCCTTATAAACCCACCTCCATTAATGTGTGTAGCACCACGAGGTGGTGACCCACCAGGAATATTCTAGTGTAAGTCCATCTTGGGCTGGAGCTTCATCCCGTCTGCCCTGGAGAGGAAAGGCATGACGTCTGTCTCACTTCCTCTTCCTCCCAGCATTCTGTTCTGTTTACTGCACCCACCTATGTTCTAACCTATCAAGCCAAGCAGTTTCTTTATTAGTTAACCAATGAAAGCAACAGATTGATATATGACACTCTCACATCACTTTCAGTCTCTAGGGTACTTTGAGTTACTGTCACTCTCCTGCTGAGTACCCAGCTTGGAAGGGAGATTTCTTTTTGTTTGCTGAGTCACCTCCTTGCTTCTCCTTTCCCCTACCTTGTTAAGTGTTTTATCACCTCTTTATAATTTTGGACTATGGCTTCTTCTTTGGTATTGTGGCTGTGAGGGTTTGGAGGGAAGAAAGAGAAGGTGGAAATGATGTTAGAATATTATAATCTCAAAAATGAAGGAAATGATTTCTAAAATTAAAATAAAAGAAAAAATTTCATTGTGATGAATCTATTTGACCATGGGAAATTTTAAAAAGAACATTTATGAATCTGAGCTTTCTTTAAAAGCCATTCCATGAATTTACCTATGCCTTCTGCTACGGCTCATTTTGTAAGTTTGTCCATACTTATTTTTGTTTCGTTATTTAAGTGTTTTATGATTTTCCATATGATATTTCTTTGAACGACTGGTATGTAAGTCTGCATTGTTTTCGCTGGTGTGATTTAACTATTGCATAATTGATAACATGTGTCAAAACATCACTTGTACTCCATTAATGCATATATTTTTAAAAGGCTTATTTTTAAATCATGTGTATTTGTGTGTGTGTCTGTGTGTGAATGTGTTTAAAGCTGCAGTGCTCACTGAATCTAGAACAAAATGTTGGATTCCCAAAGCTATAGATGCAGGTAGCTTTGAGCTGCTGGACATGGGTGCTGAGGGCCCAATTTAAGTCCTCTGAAAGAGGATCCTCTGTTTACAGACACTAAGCTGTATCCAGCCCCTAATATGTGTAATTTCTAACTTTCTGTGAAAGAAAAAATTAACAAGCCTATTCCTTAATTTCCCTATCCTTTTGGCCTTTGTGATTTAACACTTGTTGATTTCTGGCTACATTTCACCTTGTTCATCAGAGCTACTCTGGTTACCCTAATATTTACAAAGTGATTGAAGATTCTGTACCCTAGCAAATGGCTTATCACAAAGAATGTTCCAGGCTTGCTTTAGCAGGATGTGCACTCTCTGCTATTGAGCAAAACATAGTTGGACACAGTACACCTTGTCTCTGTATACCAGGTCATGACTTCATGAGTTCTAACATTTTTTTCCAAGATTACAAGGTTTGTTATTTTATTTCCTCGCTCCCTTTCATCCAAAGGCTTGCTAGCCACTGTCTTTACCACTGAAGGCGTGTCTCATTGCTAAAACTGAATTAACCCCCTTTTCCTCTGTGTGTGTGTATGTACATGCAGGTACATGTTTGCACACATGTGGAGCCCAAAGGACAACACTGCATGTCTTCCCCAGTCTCTCTCTACTCTGTTTTGGAGACAGGGCCTCTAATTTAACTAAGAATTTATGATCTGATTGGACTGGGCTCTCTTCAACTCCCTCCCAGCATAAGGGTGACAAGCATGTGCTACCAGGACTGATTATTGATGGGTGTTGGGGAGCCAAACTCAGGTCCTTGTAATTGCTTGGCAAGCACTTTTTCAACTGAAACATCTTCCCCTACTCTGTTCCTCTCTCCATCAGTCCCCCAGGAACCATCCGGAGCATGTAGGATTGGAGTTTGCCACCAGGGAGGGCTTGCAATGCAGTTCCCAAAGATGCCATCTCGATGCCCTGATACCACCATTCCCACCTGGGTCTGCCTGACACTGACATCCTAAAAGTAAGAAAAGAGGCACAGCTGATGTACCCACTGACATCGAGATTGTTCATTGCTCAGTTGTCCACTCATCAGATTTATACTAGTGCCACTGGAGCACATGCTTCTAAAACTCTTTACTGGCTCTGATCACAGATTGGTAAGCAAACACTCGGTCTTTGGAATCTAACTCGTGGGCAGAAATGTGGTCGTGTGCATCCCTGCAATGTGCACCTACACACACACTCATGAATCAGCACACATTCTTGTCAGTGTGCTGACCCTATGCTTTCCTGACCATTTCTGATAATGTCTTTCTTCACCAAAGATCTCATTAATAGGCCCGACTCCAGTTCTCCAGATGGATTCTGAATCAAACAGAATGAGTTTAACCAACAAGCCTTGGGTGATGATGCCCTGGTAATCAGTTCTACAAAAGTAGATTAAAGTGTGGGCAAGTTGATGGTGAAACTAGGTTGGCAGCCAACCCCAAGCTCTGAAATACCTATGGGCAGGATGATGTGGCAATAGACTGAGCTCTTGTTGTTTTATCTGACATGTGGTGGTATTTGAAAATCTGCTCAAATCCAGTGCACACAAATAGTCATGCAAGTGTTACTGAGCTCTTGGAATTGTTGGAACTTCAGTAAACATAGACTAAAGAAACATTATGAGGTCAAGAATGTGCCTCGATAGTAAAATGGACATGAATTTTCTTCCCTTCCCATACATTTTGAATGGTGAGATCACAAGACTCTTTAGCATAAACTTGACAAAGAATACGTATGTATGTAATGTTTATTATTATTATTAATAATAATAATAATACTGCTTACAACATAGTATAAATTTCCCCTTTCTCCCTCACTATCTTTGAAATGACAGTCTGTCTTCATCAAGTTTGTCATGTCCTCTCTCTCTTATGTACCTCTGATCCCTTCTAAATCCCAGCCCCCACTAGCCTGGTCTCCATCCTTCCCTTTACCCTCATCCAGAGCTGGCTCAACGGGACAAGAAACTCATGGTGTAGTTTGGTGGGATAGTAGCAAAGCCTACAAGTCTAGGTGACACATCAATATCCTGGGGTGCCTGTGGGGATCTGAAGCAGAAATTCTGCAGGATGTTTGTGAGGAAGAGAAAAAGCTCCATTCTAGCCAGTCCTTCTCCGAAGCAGTACCGTTTACCTAAAGAGGAGAGAGGGAGAGTGAAGCCAGTTCTTGATGTCATCCTTATAGCAAATCCCTGATTGTATTCTCTGTGGGAGGAAGGGCTGAGACCTTTAAAGAAGGCTTTAATCTCTGAGCCTCAGTTTCCTCTGTACTTGTGAGTTGATCCTCACCAGGCTGTAACAATGAGAAATGTGGAGTCCCTTCTCTACAGAGGCGTTCTCCAGTAGGGATGCCATGTAGCAACATCTGTCCTTCCTTTCCTTCCTTCCTTCCTTCCTTCCTTTCTTCCTCCCACATCCTTTCCTTCCTCCCACATCCCTTCCTTCCTTCCTTCCTTCCTTCCTCTCTTTCTTCTTTTTTTATAGATTTTTGGAAATACGATTTCTCTGTGTAACTGCCCTGGTTGTTCAACAACTCCCTCTGTAGACCAGGCTACCCTTGAACTCACTAAGATCCTCCAGTCTCTGCCTCCAAAGTGCTGAGATTAAAGGTGAGTGCTAACACGGGCAGCTGCCACATCTTGGTACAAACTGGTTGTGTGACCCGAGAGAGATCACTGACTTAGTTTGAGACTTTATTTCTTTGAATCTATCTCTACGGTTGATAATCACTTCTCCAGGGTTCAGCTACATAGGGCTTGGGAAGTATGGGAGTTGCAGCTGACTGGCTGGGGGTTTGATCCAAGAGAATCTTCCAAGATGGAGAGATACAGATGAGTTATCTCTGTTGGTGTGAGCAGTGGCCTAGCACTAGACCTCTTACCTATGGAAAAGGGTACAAATGCATCACTCTTTTTAAACTGCCCCTTGTCATCCAGGAAGTGATTTGGGTTGAAGTCTTTGGGGTTGGAGAAGAACTTGGGGTCCTTCAGCACAGAGCCCAGCATAGGAAATACTTCAGTGCCCTGTTGAAGAGGAAGTTTTGGTTGATAAGATAGATTTGGCTGAGTGTCCTGTTGGCCCATAGGGGTGAGATAAGGATAATATATGTGAATTAAGGGGGCTTTGAGGCAGGGGCTTTGAGGGATATGAGGTTATCATCCTGAATACACGAGATATAGGGTTCATGTTATAGGACACAGGATGAATGGGTGACATGGGGTCTGTATTCTGTGGTGGGAGGTTGAGGGATATGTGCTTCATGTCTCTCAAGTCAAGAACTGAAGGGTATTGGATTTATGTACCCCTAAACAGGACACATGGCAGAAATGTATCTATCTATGACTGGAGTTCTAGGTAAATTGAGTTTATGTCTTGAGACTTGATGATTGAGAGGCATGGGGTTAAAACTTCTCGGTCAGAAATTCTGAGGGGGAACCCAAGATATAGGAGATTCTATGTAGGAGGCTGGAGGGATATAGTAGCAAAGAAAGCCTGTTACTGAGAAAGTGAGAGAGGGCTGGGTGGTTTCTAATGAGGAAGAGGGCCTGCAGGGCCATGAAGAAGGCTGGAGATTACTATCGGCTAGGTGAGTCAGCACCTTGGGGATGATGAAGTCACGGAATTTGGTGTCCTTGGTGACCCTGCGAGCCAGGCCCATGGGGATCATGTCTCCAAATCTCTGGATCTCATGGATGACAGCCTCTGTGTAGGGCATCTTCAAGTGGTCCTCATATTTGGGCTGCCGGTTCTTGCCAATCACCCTGTCAATCTCCTCTTGGACTTTGGCTGAGAAGAAAAGGCATATGTTTAGGATCCAAGAACGTTATCCTAAGAATGATAATACAAAAGTGTAGAACTGGATGGAGGCCATTAAGCAGTGTATGACATTGTCAATTATTTTCAGTACATGCGAGTCATAGGCATTGTTGGAGAAGGTTCATGTTAACTGGGTCATACCAGAATTATGTGAGAATTGTGAGGAAGGAGATTTAGTCAGGGTCTTGGGAACAGGGAAGTGAGTCCTTTGAGGTTCAGTTGAGCAACACACCAATTGATTCAACAACTAGAGGCTGGTTCCCACCAGCTCTCTCTCTCTGTCTCTGCAGAGAAAGGAGTAGCTAAGAGTCCATTTTCTTCAGAGAGGTTGGGGATGATCAGAGAAGCCCGTTTATGATCTCCAACATCACTCCCCTTGCAGCCTTACCCTGTACATCTGGGTGCTTCATGAGCAACAGAAAGCCATAGCGAAGGGTAGTGCTGACAGTCTCTGTACCAGCAAAGAAGAGGTTCAGTGTCGTCAACACTAAGTTCTTCATGTAGAACTCTGTATTTGGGTTCTTCTTCTCCTGCAGGGAGAGAAGTATTCAAGTCCAACCCACTCTATATGCTCTTCGTGCCCTTCTGTTTTATTCCCTTTCTCTGCCCTAATTCACTTCTTTTTGACCCAGACCTAAGGTGAGAAGAGGATTATGGCTATGACAGCTTTTCTTCAGGTTCTACACCTTTGGAAGTGATCCGGTTCCCTAATCCCATTTTCATCTGTCAGTGAGGATTTAGTCAATTGTCTGAACTTTAATGACAAATTTAATTGTCAGTTTTTATTTAATGTGTTTACCAAGGGTGTTGGGTTCCCTGAAACTGTAGTTACACATAACTGTGAACGATCTTGTAGGTTCTGGGAATTGAATCCAGATCCTCTGGAAAAGCAGCCAGTGCTCACAACTACTGATCCACCTCTCCAGCCCTCAGACAATGAGTTTTAGGCAACAGGATCCTATTTCTTAATTATAATCTTTAATATTCTCTTTAAAAAATCCAACCCTCAGCCCTTTGTACTTCAGAGTATGTGAAATTTCATCTTGGCCAGGCACCACACAATGGTAATCCCAGCCTCCAGAAAGCAGATCTAGGAGGACTGCCACAGGTTTGAGGCTAGTCTGGCCTCCATAGCAAGTTTCAGGTCAGTCAGGTCTACATTAGCAAGATTCTGTCTCAAAACCAACAATGACAAAATCTTCATATCTGTTAGGCTTCACAGATGTAAATGACTATGAGGACAGGCAAGGCAAATGGTGTGTTAGCTGAAAGCACCAGCCCGAGTCAGTGAGGTAGGATGCATGGCCTTCTTGCTGTGATATCAGGCAGGTCCCCTATTTTCACATGGCTGCAGCCTCCTCATTTGTAGAATGGGAGGTGAAACACAACCTTTTTCAAGAGTTGTGGGTAATAAATACGTGAATAAAACCAAGCCTTTAAAACAGTGCCTGGAACATGGTAGCCTTGTACACTGGCTGCTCTCTCAGCCTGTACACCCTCCTGAGAACAAGGGATAGTGGATAGAACAGTGATGTTGAATGAGGATTATAGCAAGGGGACTGATGAGTTGTCCTTTGTTAACTCCCTCCTACCTGTCCCTGATTTCATCCTACTTGGCTGTGTACCTCCCATCACACTCCCCGGCTTCTGGGTTTACCTCCTGCATACGGATGAGGAAGGAGTCAATGAAATCCCTTGGGGAATTGGGGTCCAGGGTGCTCTGGTTCTGTTCCACCTTCTTGGTTATGAAGTCCTCCAGCCCCTTCAGTTCCTTAAAGGCCTGTTGCTGTGGCCCTGGCAGGTATTTCATCACTGAAGAGAACATCTCGTAGAGCTGGTGGTGGGAAAGGAATGAGAAGCCAAGGGAGCTGTCACTAGACAAAACCCAATAGATGTGACATCTGTCTTAGGATGACAGATGTTCACATCACCTATCCAGGAGTTTAGAGATCCACGTGGGGCCATGTGGCAACAGACTTCTTATAGATTAAGTGTGAGGGATATTGCTCAAGGTTTTAAGTGAGATGGATTTGGGAACACATGCAGGTTTGGGGTGTTCAAGCAAGACTGGAGTGGGAAGTATCCAGTTGTTGGGTAGGAGTTACCCATGTAGATGTTTAGGAGGTTGGATAGCAGTTACCTATGCAGATGTTTAGGAAGTTGGGTAGGAGTTACCTATGCAGATGTTTAGGAGGTTGGGTAGGAGTTACCCATGCAGATGTTTAGGAGGTTGGGTAGGAGTTACCTATGCAGATGTTTAGGAGGTTGGGTAGGAGTTACCTATGCAGATGTTTAGGAGGTTGGGTAGGAGTTACCTATGCAGATGTTTAGGAGGTTGGGTAGGAGTTACCTATGCAGATGTTTAGGAGGTTGGGTAGGAGTTACCTATGCAGATGTTTAGGAGGTTGGGTAGGAGTTACCTATGCAGATGTTTAGGAGGTTGGGTAGGAGTTACCGATGTAGATGTTTAGGAGGTTGGGTAGGAGTTACCTATGTAGATGTTTAGGAGATTGGGTAGGAGTTAACTATGTAGATGTTTAGGAGGTTGGTGACTTCAGCTGGGGACAGCTCTTCATACACTAATGGGGTTTGGATTGGTGAGTTCTAACAGGCTTTCCAACATTCAATGAGTACTGGATAGTCACAATAGATAAATCACGCAATCAACCTAAGTGTCCAAAAGCATGTAGGAAATGAAGAAGGAAAGTGTGATCCATATACACAACTGAATTATTCTTCAGCCATTAAAAACAAAGTTATAACATTTTCAGCAAAGTGGGTCCACCTGGAGATAACTGTATTAAGCAAATTTAAGCAGTCTTAGAGAAATAACTCATGTATTTTTTTTCATTTGTGGTAGATATATGTTAAATCATGTGTGCACATATCTATGTATATATGTGTACATGTGTATCACTTGGAAGTAAAAAAAATCTGTCTGAGAAGACAACGAGAACTAAAGGAGAATGAGGTATGAGAAAAGGGAAAGTAGGGGTCATGGGGGTGATTGGCTCAATATACAATATATGCTTGTCCAAAAAATATAAAAAAAAATAGGTATTTAAAAATAGTGCTGATATTCACATGTTCACCTGCCTTGCTATTCAAACTGCTGCACAGAGGACCCCACTTAGATGTGTGAGTGAGCTGTGCTGGAGGACCTTAACTGGGGTGTTTGAGGGACAGTCTGCAGAAATTTTGCTTAGAGATGCAGAAGTTTATGTATTTCCATGGCTGAGTAAAGAGCCCTCATCTACATAGTTCAATGAACTTGCTCCATATATTTTGCCTATGGCACATGATTTGAGTGACCTGAATTATTTTGCAGCACCAGGCACTTGGAAACTGAAGGGAGCTGGAGTATTCAGCATGAATTCCTGTAGCAACCTTGGTTAGAGAATAAAATAAAATATTATGGTAATGTTCACCATGCTGAGGCAGATTTCACTCTCTCTCTCTCTCCCTCCTTCCCTCCCCCCTCTATTCCTTCTTCCCTTCCCTCTCTCTATCTTTCTCTCTCTCTTCCTTTCTTCCTCTCCTTTTTCCTCTCTCTATCCTTCCCTCCCTTCTTCCCTCCTTCTCTCCCTCCCTCTCTCTCTTCCTGTCTGTGTGTGCATGTCTGCTTGTACTGCTGGTTCTGATTTCAGGAGCAGCTATAGAGACTGTATATTGACATTGGTTCAGGCACAATTGCCAGGCTACTTTGAAGGTACCTATTGGAAAGAGGTTGGCAGTTTTGGAGTGAGCTGGTAGCTGTGGTCTGGGGATGGTAGGACAAGGTGAAACAGATTACCTGCCCAGTGGAGGTAGCTGTGAATTGGAAGCTTGCCAGCATCATCCTCAGCAGTGACAGAAACTCTTTATCCTCATAGTCAAAGCGGTCCCCGAAAACAATAGAGCTAATGACATTGGACACTGTTCTGCTCAGGTAGAATGTAGGGTCAATGAGAGCACCTGTAGGTAAGGAGGACAGAGAGCGAGACCTTGGAGCTTAAAAAAGGCTTTCATGATGGATAGCATCAGATACTTTGTATCAGATAATTCAAAATGAGCACTTGCTGCAGTGTGGAGTCCTTCAACTCCACCAAAACCCAGTAACCAGGTCCCACAGCAGGACCAGTACTCTCTTCCCTAGCCTAGTTCTCATCCTGGATGTTGGTGTTTTTTTCCTAGGTTGTCTTCCCCTTCGTTGGTCCTGAGAACTTGCAGAGCTCTGCTTACCATTTGTCTTCCTGAATGCCTCCAGGAGAAAGCCCGCCTCCTCTTGGATGCGCTCCTCAATGCCACGCTTGCCCATACCAAAGTCCCTCAATGTGGCAATGGAGAAGCGCCTTAGCTGCTTGGCACACTCCCCATTGCTGAAAACCACGCCTGAGAAGGAGAATGAGGGGTAAGGAGAGGTCAGAGAAGAGGGATGTGACTGAATACTGACCACCCTTGCTGTTACCCAAGAGCAAGTTAGAGAATAAAATAAAGAGGAAGACATAAGGAGGAGAGATGTCAGAGGCACAAAGGCGGAGGGACAGGGCACAGGTGAGAGAAGGGAGATTGGAGAGATCTGGGTGTGAATACAGTTGTGAAAGAATTATAATTGAGAGGGAATAATTATAATAAGAGAGGGAAATAGGGAGAGAAGACAAAGAGAGTCTGGGAAGAAACAAGATTTCTGCCATGATATTAGGCTTGGAAATAGATTTCAGTGATGCTCTGACAGTGGAGGAAGAAATCAGAAGAAAGGAAGAGAGACAGCATCCCGGGCAATCACAGAAACTATGAATAATGGGATAGGGTCGGGGAAATCTCCGGAGCATGTTAGAAGCAGAAGATTCAGATAGAAAATTCCAAGATGCAAAACAAGGCATGGGTGGTGTGTGTGTGGTGAGGGAGGGGGTCAGGAGACAGAGGCAGAAAAAGACAGAAAGATTAGGAAGCAATGGGTCCAATACCCAACACAGAAGGAGGCAGTGATGTGGATGGAAGAGTCAGGGAGAAGGCAGGTTACTGAAACCTTCCTATTGTTCCCTGCCACATTCCCCTGTATCTTGTCCCCCTCACCATGGCCTTTGAACAGCCAGTCAAAGGTGGCCTGCTCGCCACGCCCACTGAATTCCTCAGCTTGATCCAGCAGAGCCTCCTTGACTGCTTCCTGTCCACATAGTACCACAATTCGGCGAGGCCCTAGGTGGATGGTGAAAACGGGACCATAGCGCTCACTGAACTGATGGAGGAGGATGAGCAAAGTTAGAGGAACAGGTCAGACCTTGATGACATGTTTGGGATTGATTTCTCTGGAGTTCTAACGGCTCTCAGATGGGTTGCCCCAAGATGTGGTCTCACATGCCTAGGAGTTGGTTGCTGGCTCTTCACAATTCCTCCAGCCTAAAATTACACCCCCTAGGGTCAATACCCTACTACAAAGCCTCTATCAAATCTGGCATCCCTCTGTGCCCCATTCTACCCTTCACCCTGCCCAGTGGCACCTTCATGAGGGAGTTGTACATCTGCTCTGTGTTCAGCTGAAGGTAGTTCCCAATGAAGGGCAGTGGGGTGGGTCCTGGAGGCAGCTTCCCTGAAAATTTCTTCTGCTTCCAGACAGACATGAAGACCAGAACGATGAGGAAGGCCAGTACAGTCACCAGGAGCAGTCCAGAGACCAGCATGGTGGCAATGAGGGTGACGGACAGATGGTGATGGCTGAATTGGTTTGCTTTTATACATCCTGAGGTGGAAGGGTGTCCTTTGGCCTTGATTATGCAACTGTTTTATTTCACCTTCCAGACTACCACCCCCTATCATGCAACTAGCTTGAGACACAGCCAAAAATCGAGGAGGAGGAGGCCGCATGACGGAGTGGACTGATTTGTGACATCTGAGGATGAAGTACTCCAGGGCTATGTGTTACAGAGGAAAGGGACAGTAGACAGAAGTCAGAACTGAATCCTTCATGACATTTGTATTAGAGACCCTTCTGAGCTCTGGGTGTGGGTTCTCCTGGGAAGGAACCAAAATGATGTGATATTAGGGTCTCATTGGTTTGAAATGGGACAAATGGCTATAAGTTTGGAAGTTCATTTTCTTTCTAGTTTGAGACAAATTCTCTCTATGTAGTCCTGATTGGCCTCAAGCTCAATATGTCGGTAATAGAACTCTACCTGTCTCTGCCTCCTGAGTGCTGCGATTATAGGCCAACATCACTACCCCTAACTCCTGAGCCTTTCAATGCAGAGGGTCCTGGATTTACGGAAGGGGAGATTTCAGGACTGTAGGTTTTGGATCTTGAAGCAAGACTGTGGATGAGGAGTACCTGGGAGAAACACATGGAAATTCCAAGAGGATCTTGGAGTAAATATCTGTACCCAGGCAGGGTATACTTTGGTTTTGGCCCTAGACTATATTTGATACTCAGAACCATTAAGGAAGTTCCTAAGGCTAGAATAGGAATGTAGGAACTAGAAAAGTTGGGGAAGACCAGAGTCCTATTTCAAAGGAACTTTGCTCAGTACTAGAGATAATATCTGAGGATCATGATCATCAAAGGGTCTGTCATTGAAGAATGATGATAACAACCACCAATACATTAGAGAAGTTCTAATTTACAAAAGTACCCCCATTCCTTTCCAGATCCTTAGGAAAGGCTACCAGGTTCACTGGCTCATGGCTGTTGTAATTTACAAAAGTTCCCTGTTCTATATATGGATGCACTGAGAATAGGACACAGAGCGTGGCATGGGGACAACATACATGAAAAGTCTGTAAGCCAAAGCCATCAAAATCTTCCTGAGCCTACATTTTCAGCTTTCTCTTTCTAGACTTCTTTTCCCGGCCAGTGGCAGGAGAACATGGAGCAGGTCAACATTGGTATGTGTGGTAAGCAAACTGATGCCTGCACTACCTAGGGATGTTAATAGCAGGAAGTGAGATTGAGGGAGGGGCTTAGGTAATCATCCAGCATGGGAAACAAAAGAGAATCCTGGGAAGCTAAATCTGGCCACAGAGAAAGGAATAGTCCACTGTTCTTACCACAATGATTTTTTTTATAATAATTAAGGTTTTTCTTTTTTTTCTTTTCTTTTTTTTTTTTTGGATTTTCAAGACAGGGTTTCTCTGTGGCTTTGGAGCCTGTCCTGGAACTAGCACTGTATACAAGGCTGGTCTCGAACTCACAGAGATCTGCCTGCCTCTGCCTCCCGAGTGCTGGGATTAAAGGCGTGCGCCACCACCGCCTGGCTAAGATAGTTACCTTTTGATAAGATTATGTGTATCCCATCTGTGGAATGTTAATAATTATGAAATTGTCACATCCTCAACCTCACTGAGATTGCCAAGATCATAAAGGATTTGTAATTTGACTTGTTTTTCTCTTCATTGCCTGGCCCACCTCATTCTAGGAGTCATTCAGGGACAGGGTGGGTGCTGAGATTGAGATCTGCAGTAGACAAAAGAAAAGACACCAGCAGTTACTATGTCAGTTTCAAGCAAACCCAGGAGGGAGGGGATGGGGTTGGTATTGAGATTGTCCCCAGAAAGCACTGAGGCCAGAAAGAAGTTAGCACTGAACTTGACACCAAGGGTATTTTAGTAGAATCACCTCTTAAGCTAAGAGGGACCTTGAGAGTGGAGGTAAGCTGTCACTGGAATTACCTGAATTGAAGGCATACGTGTGCCATCATACAGTCTCTGGATTTGGTTCCAGCAGATTCTGACATAAACACCACGTACTTGCTGAGATTGACCTGAGTTAGATCCTGGAAAGGACCTCTGGTGGACATTGGCAGGCTTTCATGGATGGACCATTCATGGTGGTACCCTAGCTTTAGACAAGAGGAGGTGGGTGAGGCTGGAAATTCTATAGCTGGCATGTTGCTCATTTCATTCTAGGCTGTTGGACTCTGAGACAGGTTGGGGAGACATGAAACGCAGAGAAGAAAGCTATTTGTTGAGTTTGGAGGAGAAAGAGGCAGGGAATGGTATTAGCCTAGGCTTGGCAGGTAGCATTATCTCCTTAATCCTTATTACCAGCCTGCACCTACACCAATCCCAAATCTGGACCTCTCCTTCCCACTGTTTCCACTTGAATAGGAAAAAGGGAATCATTTTGGAGACACTGTTTCTCAGTGAAGGTGGTACCAGCAAGGAGCCCAAGTGTTCAGGCAGGCTCCCATGATCTGTATAGGGGATGGGGTGAAAGGGCCAGAATGGGAACTGAGGTTGAAAGCTCAAGAGAGATCAAGTGTATTTGCTCTTAATGATTTTTGTGGGCCCATGAATGTTAGAGCAGAAACTGAAGTCAGGTGAGAGAGACAAAGGCACACGAACAATGGGTGGGTGCCTGTAATCACCTGGAAGAGACATGTCCAAGTGGATGTACCACAAGACAGGCTTCCAGAGTGAGTTAGTGTTGATGCAGAAAATCCCCTTTGATGGACCTCAGTTACCCTTTCTGGTTGAGTGATTAAGTTCAAGGGTAAGGCATGAAATGGAACCCTGACTTGGGCAGATACCAGCCTCCACCACCTCACAATCCAGTCAGTCTCCCTAAAATCTTCTCTTTTATTGTGTTTCCTTGAAGAGCTGACTTCATTGACCAACTGAATTTTATGGGTTCTAGGATTGAATTTATGTATCTCTCGGTAGTAATATACTGAAGAGGTGTAAATGATTGGCAACTAGAATTAACCAGGCTAACTTTATTATAAAATATTCAGATTTATATTTATGGTTGTGAGCCCAGCCTTTAACGGCTGAGCCATCTCTCCAGCACAGACAAAAGGGCAACATTGAATAAATGGGACCTCCTGAGACTGAGAAGCTTCTGTAAAGCAAAGGACACTGTCACTAAGACACAAAGGCAACCCACTGACTGGGAGAAGATCTTCACCAACCCCGCAACTGACAAAGGTCTGATCTCCAAAATATATAAAGAAACTAGATCGTAAAAATCTAATCAACCCAATTATAAAATGGGGCACTGAGCTGAACAGAGAATTCTCAAAAGAAGAAGTTCAAATGGCCAAAAGACACTTAAGGTAATGCTCAACTTCCTTAGCGACCAGGGAAATGCAAATCAAGACAACTTTAAGATACCATATTCCACCTGTCAGAATGGCTAAAATAAAAAACACCAATGATAGCCTTTGCTGGAGAGGTTGTGGAGAAAGGGGTACACTCATCCATTGCTGGTGGGAATGCAAACTTGTGCAACCACTTTGGAAAGCAGTGTGGCGGTTTCTCAGGAAATTCGGGATCAACCTACCCCTGGACCCAGCAATATCACTCTTGGGAATATAGCCAAGAGAGGACTTATCATACAACAAAAGTATATGCTCTACTATGTTCATAGCAGCATTGTTTGTAAAAGCCAGAACCTGGAAACAACCTAGATGCCCTTCAATGGAAGAATGGATGAAGAAAGTACGGAATGTATCCATATTCGAGTACTACTCAGCAGTAAAAAACAAGGACTTCTTGAATTTTGCATACAAGTGGATGGAAATAGAAAACACTATCCTGAGTGAGGTAAGCCAGACCCAAAAAGAGGAACATGGGATGTACTCACTCATATTTGGTTTCTAGCCATAACCATAGGACATTGAGCCTATAATTAGTGCTCCTAGAAAAGCTAAATAAGGAGAACCCAAAGAAAAACATATAGGCATCCTCCTGAATATTAACCTTCATCAGGCAATGAAAGGAGACAGAGACAGAGACCCACTTTGGAACACCGGACAGAAATCTCAAGGTCCAAATCAGGAGCAGAAGGAGATAGAGTACGAGCATGGAACTCAAGACCGCAAGGGGTGCACCCGCACACTGAGACAATGGGGATGTTCTTTTGGGAACTCACCAAGGCTAGCTGGCCTGGGTCTAAAAAAGCCTGGGATAAAACCGGAGTCGCTGAACATAGCAGACAATGAGGACTACTGAGAACTCAAGAACAATGGCAATGGGTTTTTGATCCTACTGCACGTACTGGCTTGGTGGGAGCCTAGGCAGTTTGGATGCTCACCTTTCTAGACCTGGATGGAGGTGGGTGGTCCTTGGACTTCCCACACGTCAGGGAACCCTGATAGCTCTATGGGCTGACAAGGAAGGGGAACTTGACTGGGGGAGGGGGAGGGAAATGGGAGGCGGTGGCAGGGAAGAGACAGAAATCTTTAATAAATAAATAAACGGAAAAAATATTCAGCTTTAATAAGGGCAAGAAGGGGGGGACTTACAAAGCCAGAGTTCCCACAAAGCACAGGAAAAACAAAGAGGGAAAACAAGTGCACATCGATGGTTTTATAGGCGATTTGGGGCCCCAGGGGAACACACTCCACAAACAAGGTGATTGGTTGAGATTCCCCATCAATATATGAGTTAATACATAAAACCAACAAATATTAGCTATTTTTCCAAGTGTTATTGTAGCTTATTAATCTATAAGAAAAAGGAGATGGATTGATGTTACTCTAAACCTCAATCTGCCTTTGGTAATCTACGGTTTTCATCGTAGCATAGAGGGTCCAGCACTGGAAGAACATTGCCAGGTGTTCTCCCCCAGAGTTCTCTGTCCCACACCTTCTAGCACTATGAAAGTTAGCCAGCAAGGAGACAATTTCCTGGCCAGTTCAAGACTGATCTCTCTATGTCCTGCAGCCAAAGTTTGTGGTGTCTTCAGCAACAGGGTCCTAACATCTAGTTATGGGGTAAAGGCAGAACTATAGCAATAGTCTGTCTTGTTGTGAGTGCCTCAAGGACCAGCCAGAAGAGAGCATTTAAGAAACCTCCTTCCCCAATACTTATTTACTGAAGTCAATCATTACTACCCTTCTATCTCTGCAGCTGTGATTAGGAAATTTGTTCTGGAAGACTGATGCTCTATTGGGCAACATCTGAGCAAGCATAGATTATTATTAGATGTTTAGACTGTTCTGGATGGAGCTGAAACCTGTACAGGACTTTGCCTTACTGTCTATCTTCCCTCCCTTTACCTTAAACTATCCACTTACTTTCTTTCTCCTTCCTAGCAAGTCACTGTTGTCCGCAAGAGTTCTCTGTGTTCATGGATGTCTTCTTGTTATTATCATTTTGACAAGTAAGTTACAATAGGTACTTTTTCCTGGCTTAGCTTTGTTTACATATTCTTCCCTATGTATCATTTTGAGTATGTTTGGGGTCTCTGTGGAAATGCATGTTGCAACATCTGTGTATTAGTTACTATTCTGTTGCTATGATAACACACCATGACTAAGACAAAGTACTGGAGTTTATTTGGGCTTACCATTCCAGATGGGTAATGGTTGGTTGTGGTGGAGAGCATGGTAGCGAGTGGCAGGGACTGTGGCAGTAGCAGGAGACTGAGCACTCACCTCTTCAACCCCAAACACAAAGCTAAGAGCAAACTGAAATTGGTATATGGACTTTTAATTTTAAATCCAAGGTCAAGTGACATACTTCCCCCTGGGAGGCTATACCACCCAAACCTCCTCCAACAGAGCTACCATTGTAGGACAAATCTCATTCAAAGCACTACAATGCCCATGTGGACTGATTAATTTGTATCTGTACCAATCTTAGTTGGATTCTTATGGGAACATAATCAGTGGGTATATACTTCATATCAACATCTTCACATCTGTGTATCTGAGGGTGTCTGTGTGTGTGTACATGCTCACTGATGTGCCTAGATCACGACCCCCCAAGGGAAACCACCAGAAACCCAGAGCAGACCAGACTGCAAAATGCAAGGTTAACTCCTTTATTGCAAGTACAGGCTAGCCAGGAACTTCTCCTCCAAAACCCTGAAACAGCAAGGTAAAGAGAGAAGTTAAAAATTTCCTTTGCGGGTTAGTTTTTGAAAGGTGATACTACAAGAAGGCCTTTCAGAGCCGCTTCGGAACGGGTGCAAGGTTTTTTGCTTTTTCCCATCCTGCTATGTTAGTTTGTCCTTTGTTTTCCTTTATTACCAGGTGACTGGCTAAGTGTCCTTGTGCTTTGGAGTATCTCAGGTGGGAAGGGAAAAGTGAAACTAGTCTGTGTTTCTAATTTTAAAACATTCTGTAAGGAAAATTTTGTCCCTTTGAGAATAAGGGGTGAGGGTCTCACACTCACCATTCTCTGCAGGTAAACATCTTAATACATGCATGTTTTAGGATGTTCCCATTGTAGCATGTCTACCATGTGTATGTTCAATGTGGTACTTAACTCCATATTTATGCTTGTGTGAATGTATGTTCAAGAAATGACTTTTTCTTACTAAGTGTATATTTTTGTGTCCATTATGGTGTACATTTGCAGACACATGGATCCATAGTGTGTATAGATGAGCATTTGGTGCCTGCACATGCTTGTCTGGGTTTAGATTTATACATAGCCCTCGAACAGTTTCATTTGTGCTCATTAGTAAACAAATAACCCCTACATTTTTTTCAAACCCTTGTCTTCAACATTATGTACAAAGGATTACATAAGGTCAGAGGGGACTTGGCAGCTGTCACTAAGTTTCTGAGAAATGAATAGGTTAGCCAGATTATCCCTATTGGCTATGAGTAGTCATGTATCTAAATCTAGAGAAGCAGGCAGGTGAGAGTTAGGAGAGAAGGTAACAGAAACAAAGAGATGGGAAGTTGCTCTGCTTTATATTTGTAGATGCAGGAAACAAGCTTGGGCCCAGGAAATCAAGGAAGATTCTCTGGGAATTGGAAAAGCAGAAAAAAGTCACTGTCTTCCTTGATGTCAGTCTAGTGGAAGCCACTCTGGGCAGAAGCCCTGACAAAGAAGGTCAGATGATAAATACAGGCTACTAAGTCTCAACAACCACAGAGAACGAATACAGGGACAATCAGAGAGGAAAAGGCCCCTGTTCTGAGGTCATTAAGGGAAGAAATGCTACGGCTGTGGGACTTTACAATTTCAAGATTGCTATCCTTCTGAGGAGGTATGGGAGGTACCAGATTAGCTGCTCAGAGTGAAACTTACCCTTCAACTTGGGATATTTCATCAGCAGCAAGAATTAATAGCAAAAGGTGGAACTCAGTTTCCATGCCAGCAAAGAGGTTGAGGGTAGTGAGTACCAACTCCTTGAAATTTAATTCTGTGTTGGGGTCTCTTTTATCCTGAAAACAAAGTGGATCACCAACAAAAGAACCCCATTGAATCTTTATCTTACCCTTTTCTCTGTGTAGAGAAGATGCATTTGTGAAAGGAGGAAAGCTGGATTAAGTAAGTCCAGAAGAAACAATGAAAGCAAAGGTACTGGTTTCTGAAGTTTAAACTGAAATATAGAGAGTGAGCTGCCAAAGTTCTCAAATCTAAGACTTTTAAGGTACATTCTGACTTTCAACAATATGTCTGTTGCATAGATGGTCTTAAAATTGTAATTTTAAAGTTTCTTTATACTAAACTTTGTAAATTTGAAGTATATTTTAGCAAAATATGGTATATATACATGGAGTTATGGAGAACGAGGGAACTGTCCTTTGCCACAAAATGGGTAGAACTGGAGGAATTAGTTTACTTGAAACAAGTCAGGCACAGAGGCAGTTACTGCATGTCCTCTATCATGGATGGAAGCTAGGAAATGTTGAATTAAAAGTAGGCCAGGCTCACAAAGAAAAGGGGTGCTAGTTTTGACCAGTGCATGCTGTATTCTTTTAATGAAGTATCACATGAAAGCCCACTAACATGCAGCTAATATGTGATGACTATTCTTGGTTGTCAACTTTTAAGTACAAACTTCGACTTTTCATGGCAAAGAGACTCATCTGCTCCTGTCAGCACCACTCTACTTCAAGCGGATGATGGGCACCTTTTGGTATAGGTAAGCCATCTGGGCAAGAAACTGCTCTTGGCTGGACTGCTTGATGCTATGCTGTACAAACTGGACATGCAAGACCCACAGAGAAATGTAAACTAAACTTTCCTAAAGGTGAAAAGATCCTTCAGGGTTCCTGCTTCATGAAAGAGTCTGTCAGACATTCTGCAAGACATATAAGGAAGTGACTTACAATTGGTGCAGTAGGCTAAAGATGGGTGCCCCAATGGTACAGAAGAACTTTGGGTGACTGTCCAAGCAGCAAGATGTCTCTGCCAATTCAAGAGTTTTGGAAGTTGCTTCCAGTGCTCTTCCTGTTAACTTAGGTAATATTATATCCTTCTCTAGTCTTCAGTGGAGTTGAAGAAAAGATAGTTTATAGTTTTCCTTAGGTATGATAAAAGATAAAGTAGATGTAAGTATTATAAGTGTAGTTATTGCTTGATACCTGATTTGTTATATGTAATTTTACTAGATTAAAGTTAAAATTTTCCTTTTTATTTGAACAGAAATGGGGAAATTGTGTGGGAAGTCCTTCTGTATGTGTGTTGCTTTTATTGGTTAATGAATAAAAGAGGCTGCTTTGGCCTGTGATAGGGCAGAATTGAGTTAGGCAGGAAAACAAAATTGAATGCTTGGAGAAAATAGGTGGAGTCAGTGAGAAGACATGTAGACACCACAGGAGACAGATACCTCCACCAGAGCCTGCTGAAACTTTGCACGTAGGCCATGACCTCATGGTGATGCACAGGTTAATGGAGACTGGTTAATTTAGGATATAAGAGCCAGCTAAAAATATTCTTAAGCTACTGGCCAAACAATATGTTTACATACCAATGGAATGTCTAAGAATCCAGTAATTGTTCAGTCCATGAGGTTGGATGTTTCAGCTGGTCTTCAGAATCTGCGAGAATCATGAAGAACTAGGCTCTAGTGACAGTGAAAATAAACAGGCAAAGAAAGCCAGCTACCTTCTTCCATGTCCTTTATATAGGCTGTCTTCAGATTGAAGGTGGGTCTTCCGACATCAAAGATACAGAAGAGGAAGTGTAGGCAGAGGCTGTTTATTTATTCCTGGCTACTCAAACCCAAAGTAATCACACAGAAACCATATTATTGGCAATATCTTTTAGCCAATAGCTTAAGCAAAGTTAACACTAGACAAAAAGATTCCTAAATACAGGTTCTGGTGACAGTTGTATGTGCCTATCGGCAGATAGGAACTAAGTTTGGCTGCAAAGGCTTTAGGGGGTACACAAATATTACCACACAGTAATTCATTACAAGTAAGATAAAAAATAGCACTGCAAGCACTTTAGAGTCCAAATTCTAGAATTCAAAAGCAAACTATTCCTCAAACATTCTGCGTGACATTACCTTGCCTTTTCATCTATCAGCTTTTTTTTGTTTAGTTTTGTTTTTATTGTCTTTTTTTCTATTTTTTTTTAAAAAACAAAATTCCTCCTCCTGCTAGCCTCCCATTTCCTTCCCCCTCCTCCTGCCCCTCTCCCCCCACTCCTCTCCCCCTCCCTCTCCAGTCCAAAGAGCAGTCAGGATTCCCTGCCCTGTGGAAAGTCGCCTAGCCAGTTTGGATGTTCATCTATCAGCTTTTATAGTCGCAAAATTAGCAGAGCATTCATAGCCTTCTCTAGGGAATCCATGTAGGTGATTCATGAATCATTTGTCAGAGACTCTTCAATATACTGAGTACATTGCAGTCATTTCTGTCCTTATTGATGCCACTTACTATGACCTTGAAGTTCTCTAGTGCAGGCATTTCACAACAGTCACTGAAGTCATCTGCTTTGTCTAAAAGGGCCTCCTTCACAGCCTCATGTTCACATAAGACAGGCACTGGCTATAGACCAAAGTGTACAGTGAACAGAGAGCCATATTTTTCCTGGAGCTAGGAATGAAGAAAATACGGAAGGAAGGAGTAAAATGCAAAATGATGGGACACCCAGTCAAGGAATGTAGAGGGTAGAAATTCTAGGAGGATGAAAGCATAGAATAGAGAAAGGTAGAAGGGCTATTGGGGAAAAAAAGCATCAAAATGATTCCTTGACTTTGGGCAGTGCATGTCCTGAATTTTGTACTGCTCAGTTTTGTTCATGAAACAATGGACTTTGACTTGATGAATTCTGTGATCTATATATTCTCTTTTTGAAATGCTAGGTTTCTAGCGTCTTAAAAGTCTAGGACAATTTGAGAACAAAAGTTGTGCTTAAAGAAAGGAGATTCCCAAAATTTTTAGAATGTGATCCAGAGTCCTGAGAAGAGAGGGCTCTGTTCTAGTGTGCTCAGAGTCTAAATTTTTTCCTCTTCATTTTAGGATTCTATAATTCCAGAATCCTAAGTTTCCCAAAGTTTCTTTCTGAGTCTTTGTTTAGGAATCATGAGTTTTTGTGTGTAATCCTCTATGTTGTTTGTTGACTTCATTGCTATAAGAAGCAATGAACACACTCACCTTGAGGAAGAATTGAAATAAGGCATCAACACAGACTTGTAATACGTTCCCCTCAAAATAGTACTGGTGTGGTGCCAGGGAATAGCTTCCCTTCCTTACTGGTTCTCTTCCAAACAATCAAGATGAGCAGGCAATGCATGTAGAGTACCATAAAGTTGCTGAAGGCCCACTTACGTTCCATGGTGCTAAGTGAAAGGGTTATGACCTTGGATCCAGATCCTGCCTACATAGCTTCTAGGAGATCAGCTTACACTAAAATCTGAACCCTGTGGAATTCAAAATGTCCCTGTATTATGCCATCAGTAGTCCAATTGTTTGATAGATGTACAGTTATGTAATTTTTAAACTCTCATCTACATTGTAGTGATATTTCATTAGTATTTTAATGAATAAAGCTTGGATAAAGATCAGAGTAAAACAGCCCCACTGGTCAGTCTTTTAGACCAGGCAGTGGTGACATACATGTTTAATCCCAGTAGTTACATTACTTTGCCATAGAAACCAGGCAGTAGTAGTGCATGCCTTTAATCTCAGCCCCAGAGAGAAACACAAAATGATAAGAGACAGCTCTCAGACTTAGTCTCATTTCTGAGGATCCCTGGAGGCAGGATCACCATTTCAGACTAAGGCAGACGTAAGAGTCAGTGGTTGACTGTCTTGCTTTTCTGACCTTCAGGTTGAACCCCAATATTTTTCTCTTGTTTTTTTTTTATCAATAGTGATACAGTTTATAGAGTTATATTGAATTTACCCATAAAACTTTACAAGGGGTTTTCCCCTTTCTTCCCATTTCTAGTTTCCCATCTGTCCCTCAGCTTCATATTCTTTGTAGCATCTGAGAAACAGCCAGTTTATAGGGACTCTGCATAAGGTATAGACCTTCCTAATCCTTCCTACATTGTTCTGCTGCATGAACTATCCTTTAGACCTTGTTTTTATTGACCTTGGAATGCCAATTTCTAGTGATTTACTTCCACCTGTCCAGAGAAGTTCAGAGGCAAGAAGTTTACTTCCCTGGTTCAGCATATCCAAGGACATTATACATACAACCCCTGAGACTTTCCCACTTATCCCCGAGACTTCTATCCCTCTGAATCACATCTAATGTAAGTAATGAGGATGATTGTATGTGTTTGTGCATCCGTGTGTGTGTGTATGTGTGTGTGTGTGCAAGAGAGAGAGAGAAAGACACACACACAGAGAGAGAGAGAATGTGGTGTTGTGAGGATATTATAAAAATGATAGGGGCATATTAAAGGAATTGGAGGGGAAAGAATGGGGCATGAATTTGATCCAAACACATTATATTCAATTGTGAGTATTCAATAAAGTACTATAAAACAAGTAAACCAAATTTTATAGGATGTCATACACGTTCTTATCTACTCCAGATACAAGCAGTAATGAAAGATTAGATTGCGTTGATTTATCCAAAATTTATGATGTGATGTCTAAGATGCAGAGAGACTTAGAACCCCACCCTATGAACAGGATTCACCATTAGAGATGCTGCCTTAAGAATATTAATAAAAAGTTCCCAGTTCTTTTCATGTCAAATATTTGTAAAACTTCTATCCTGGCCCCAAATAAATTTGCAGGCTGTTGTTCCCTTTCTGTGTGCGTTGGTACCACCACACAGATCTGACCCTGTCCTTGGATGTCTGGGTTCTCACACTTGGAAACTGAGTTCCTTTTATTTACCTGCAGATTCCAAGAACAGAGCATGAGTTATGCATGGCACCCACGACTGTAATATCAGCAGCTAAATCAGGATTTAGGGACAGCCTGGGGATATGTGGCAAGAGCTAGACAGGAAAAATGATGAGAATTTAGTTGGCTAAGAAGGTGTCCCATGTCCAGGAGAAATGGTGAGATTTCTAGGAAGACTGAAAGTATCACTTTCTTCATGCTAGGCCTCCTCTTCAGACACCTTTCCTTTTATTCTAAAGAAACAAGATAAACAACTAGTTTGCATCCTCTTTCATGGCTCATGTTTCCTATAGCTGCATTCTACCCTTCCTCACCACCTAATGTTACCCTTTCTTCATTTCCTTTCTACATGTTAAACTATACACGTGAGTGTACATTTATTTACATACATAAATGCATTCATGATAGAAATAATTTTGGAGGTCCCTCAAAAACAAACAAGAAAATAGCAACAACAATTCCCTGCAAACCCAAACTGACACATCAACCAGCTGTTTCCCTCCTGGGCATCCACCCTGTGAATCCCATACCTTACCATAGAGGTACCTGCTATATTCACTACAGCAAGGAATCAACATAGCTGTTCATCAACAGGTGAAAGGATAATGAAAACCTAGTGTGTGTCTAAAATTAAATCTTGTTCAGCTCTAAAAGAAAAGAATATAGCCACAAAATCTACAGGGAAATGAAAAGTTTTAGAGTACATAATATTAATTGAGGTTATACAAACTCAGAAGGAAAAATAACACAAACTCTCATTTGTGTCTCCTAGGATGCCTTTCATAAGGCGGAGAACTATCATCTCCGGGGTCTCTCATGACTCTTATTTCCTTTTTGTCTCCCTTTCTCATGACCCTCCCTAACACACACACACACACACACATCCACACCACCGGAATGGTATCTGTTATGATATGATTATGATATGATTATGGTTGTGTGTAGCATGATTAACAAAAACCCAGAAACAGATATTGGGTTTCAACCTGAAGGTCAGAAAAGCAAAACAGCCAGCCACTGGCTCTTACCTCTACCTCAATCTGAAATGGTGATCCTGCCTCTAGGAATCCTCTACTGTGTTTGAGAGATGTCTCCTCCCATCTTATATTCCTTTCTAGGGCTGGGATTAAAGGCATACACTACTACCACCCAGTTTCTATGGCAAACTAATGTGACTACTGTGATTAACTGTGTGTGTTACTATTACCTGGACTGTGAGACTGACCAGTGGGGCTGTTTTACTCTCTGATCTTCAGGCAAGCTTTATTTATTAAAATAAAAATGAATTATTACTACATTTCACTTTTGTCTAAAATAAAAAAAATAGGCTTTTGCTAATATAAGAAAAACTATATACAGTAAATACAATAACTTTATACAATATGTACGGGCAATAAACACATCAACAATATTTAGTCCACTTCCAATTGACAAATACAGAGAAAGGACTCCATATCTATCCTATCAATATCTATTTTGGTGAATCCAAATCCTGTCCTTAATTTGCTTTTTGCCATAGCTTGATTTCTGTGTCTGGTAAACAAGGAAAACTATAACTATCTAGTCTTCAACTCTCCCTTAGAGACCTAAAAAGGAAATAATATTAACTGAGAAAGAAGGAAGTGCAGGCAAGTGACTTCCAAAAAATGTGAGAAATATCAGAAACATTTGGCTTTCTAGACAGTCACCCAGAGTTCCTCTGCAACATTGGGGCATCTCTCTTCAGCTTATAGGTCTAGCATATCTAACAGACTTTTCTGTAAAACAGGATGTATTGCAGGGCTATCCTCCCTTGTCTTGACAATGTTTGCCAGTTGCTTTCTTTTGTGTCCTGCTTGTCCAATTAGGAAAGCATACTGTCAGCAGTCAAGGCAAGGGCATTTTTTTTGCCAGTTGAGTTTCTCCAATTCCCTTTACCTTCTCTGAAGTATATTGGTGCTGCCAGAAGCAGACATGTCTTATTGTCATAAAAAGAGCCTATATTATTAAAACATCTTAAATGCCATATTCTGACGATCTCTGAATTGTTTGAAGATGACCTGTCTATCTAAAATATATCTCTGCTTTACCTTGAAAACATCCATTACATTGTAATATAACTACAAGTTCAAATATAATAGGTGACTAATTACTAACCTGCATTTCCTTGTTATATTAAACAGTTGGTAATAATATCGTTCCAAGACTAGAAATTTGCATTACATTGTTAAATGAGCTGTATAGGTACAATACCTTGAACAAGTTTAGAAACATATGTTTTAGCAAAATTAATCTCAAATTTGTATCAATATACAAAATTTGTATACAATATACAAAAGTCTATTACTATGTAAAACGTTTAAAACTAGTAATTGTTTTTAAAATAAATTTAATAATCTACACTTACGTTTTATCAATTGTGGATGATTGTACCTAGTGATAGTTTTGCTTAGTCTACTCAGTAATATAAGAATGGACCTTGTGCTGGCTAGTCCTGTGTCAATTTGACAAGCGAACTAGAGATATCTGAAAGTAGGGGACCTTAATTGATAAAAATGCCTCTATAAGGTCTGATTGTAAGGTATTTTCTTAATTAGGGATTGATGGAGAAGTGGACAACTCATTGTGGGTGGGGCTATTTCTGCACTGGTGGTCCTGAGTTCTATAAGAAAGCAGATTTAGCAAGTAATGGGAAGCAACCCATAAGAAGCACCCCATTCATGGCCTCTGCATCAGCTCCTACCTTCAGGTTCCTACCCTGACTTCCCTGGATGATGAACTGTAAAGTGGGAATGCAAGCAAAATAAACTCTTTCCTTTTCACATTACTTTTGGTCATGATGTTCTGTCACTGAAGTAGAAAGCCTAACTAAAATAGTCTCTGATGATTGTGACTGATAAAAATGATTTCTTTTGTCCTACTGACAATAGATAGAACACAGAAGCTCTCTGATCCTCTCTCTTCCTATCATTATCTGACACTTTCTCTGTTCACCGCTGTACTGAGAATGTCTTAGTCTGTATTCTGCTGTAACGGAATTTTGGTTTTGTGGTTTTGGAAGCACTTATATTCAAGAACACTGAACTGGCATCTGATGAATGCTTTACTGCTGCACTTTGATATGATACATGGTTCAGCAACTATATCTCCTAAAACTAGTGGCAAAAGCTAAAAAGGAAACTGAACATTCTTAGCTAGCTCACCCTACAATGGTGATTTTTATCTATTCTCAAAGTATTGTTTTTTGAATGTAAAATATTTATCACAGGTTCCATGTCAACTCGTTGTAGCTAACTGATGATACTATTTAAGGAGGTGGCTGGACAGCATAAGAAGAAAAGCTTGCAAGAAAGTAGTAGGTTGGAGAGAAGATGATGGGGTCATAAATTCATGGCATGTGACTTTCTCTCTTCCTCAGTGTCCTATTCCTCCTCTTCTTTCCATCTACCACAAATAAGAACAAATACCAGCTCCCATACTTAGATCAAAGCCCCAAGTGGCATGCCTAACCTGCCATAAAATTAATAAAAGTTGCTTTGCAGTAGGAATTTGTCCATAGTGACAAGAAAAGCAACAAATGCAGGAATTAGATTGTAAACATGACCATATTACTCGAAGGCTGGAATCACTGTCAGTTGGGACTCAAGTCTTGATACGGAAGCTTGTGACTGATCAATCTGTAGTCCATTGTAAGTAACCTACTTCTACCAGACAGGCCTCACCTCTCAAAGATTCCATAATTTCCCAAAACAGAACAACTAGCTGTGGGCCAAATGCTTAAGCACATGTTTTGGGCAACATTCACAATGAACCATCCAACATAAAGGCAAAATGTTTACGACCTTATTACACGTGGAAGATCACACTTCTTAACAATGTTATAATGACATTTAAATTTCAACATATGGTTGTAGCGATGACATTCAAACTGATGCCTTCTGCCCCACCCCACACACACAAAATAGATAAACACACACATTCGAACACATAGCCCTTCACACACTAAATATATTTTTCCCATACCAATAAGTCCCAAGTTTCATTTTGCCAACAATCCTTCACACAACGATTTACTTGTGGACTTTATTATTCATCATTCACCTGAGAAAATATAAACTAGGATAAACTTATATTGTACATGTATATTGCTAATGGAAAGTTTATATATGTTTATGCCTTCAATGAGATTTTATCTTCTCTTTCTCATAGCTTGTTTTCTATCTACAATAGAATTGATAAATAGAGAACTGGAAGGTCATGTTGACTCAACTACAGAGGAAGAAGGGGGAGAAACTGAGCAAGAACCCGGTAAACAATATTGACATCTATAGAAACCTTTCAAATACAGAGGCATTATAGGACAAAATTGGCTGGAGTTGTAGTTCAGTTGGTAGTTTTTGCTGAGAATTTATTAAATTCTGGACTTGGTCATCAGTGGTATGTGAGGGTACATGCATACAAATCCATGACTTTTGAAATGGAACAGGAACATAAATCATTTTAAAATACATAGTTAATGCACTTTCAGTAATAATGACTTTCCATACATATTTTCATCAAAAGAAATTACAATTATCATACACCCAAAACCATCAGCACCATCATGATTCAGTGGTCAAAGATGACTCTACAAATATGGTCCTCTTGATAAATTGTAAGAGATTTATATGTACCATAATGTCTTCCCTATTTTAGAGACAAGGTCTAATGTAACTCAGATGGTTTTAAATTCACTTTGCAGCCAAGGATTATACTGAAATGTGATCACCCTGCATCTACCTCCCAGGTGCTGGGTATACAAGCATGAGCCACTACGGTCATATTAAGAGGCACTGAGGATTAAATCCAGGGTTTCATGTATGCTTTGTAAGCCAGAATTCTACCAACTTAGCTATACCCAGGGCACCCATAATTTCTTGTATTTTTGTTTTGTTGTGGGAAAAAATGCCTCACTATGTAGCCCAGGCTAAATTAGAACTCCTGATCCTCCTGCCTCTACCTCCCAAATATCAAGATTATAGATATTTTTTTTTGCTACCAACACAGCTATTTGTTTTACGTCTTATTTTATAGCCCAGACTGGTCTTTAACATGTGGTCAATTTGCCTCAACTTGTGAAGTATCTGGATTTGCCAGCTAATGTCAACAAACCTGGTTATGGTTTTGCTGTCATTGGTTTTCACATTATGTTTGAAATATGGTGTACATTTTGGCAGTGTTTGCCTGTCTTAATTGAGAACCAAAATTTTCTTCTAAGATGTTCTTTTGTTCTTTGTTTTTTGTTTTACCCTTCTTAAAAAAAAACTTGAATATCACCATAGAACCTTCGTCCAGCGATGGATGGAGATAGAGACAGAGACCCACATCGGAGCACTGGACTGAGCTCCCAGGGTCCACTTGAAGAGCAGAAGGAGGGAGAAGATGAGCAAGGAAGTCAGCACAGTGAGGAGTTGGTCTACCCACTGAAACAGTGTGCCTGATCTAATAGGAGCTCACCAAACCAGCTGGACTGGGACTGAACAAGCATGTGATCAAACCTGACTCTCTGAATGTGGCTGACAAGGGGGGCTGACTGAGAAGTCATTAATAATGGCACTGGGAATTGTTTCTACTGCATGTACTGGCTTTTTGGGATCCTAGTCTGTTTGGATGCACACTTTCCTAGGTCTGGATGGAGGGGGAGGGCCTTGGACTTCCCACAGGGCAGGGTACCCTGCCCTCTCAAAGGAGGGAGGGGGAGAGAGGTGGGGGAGTGGGTGAGCTGGAGAGGAATGGGAAGAGGGAGGAAGTGGAAAATTTTAATGGAAAAATAAGATTAACAAAAAACCTTGTATATATATTTAAAGTGCATGTATTCTCTCACTACAAAAAAAAAGAATTTTCCATTACTCTGATGTTCCAAGAATATCTAAAGTATTCCAAGAGTTGTGTATTAATGTCAAAATTCAGTTGATTTAAATTTACATTTGATTGACTATATCACATTTGAAATGCATTTGGTGGTTGACCTCTTTGTTTATCTCTCTCTGTGTCCCAGGCTGATGAAGTTGTAATCTACTGTGTGGCCTAAGATAAAGTTTCTTAGTAGATGAAGGCAATACACCTTCCCTAAAGTGAGGACTGTGACAGTTACTTCATGACTCCCACTGGGAATCCTGGGTTGGAACAATGATTCAAATTCTGTGCCACATGATCCTGTTTGACAAGCCCAAGGTCCTGGTTGCATTTAAGTCTATTCTGACACCTTGCTGAAGTCAAAAAAAAAGTACAGATGCTAGGCCTAAAATCATCATACTTTCCAGAAATTTATTTTCAACCACAAGAGCATAGCAATAATGTTCTCCTCTTAAACTCCTTGAATGCTGGGACTACAGGTATGTGCTACCACACCAGAGATATTTCAAATATCTGATAGTCATATTTTGGGAGTAGATATCATAAGTACACTGTAGTTCTAATACACTATGTGGCTTAAGATAAAGGTTCTAAATATCTATGTATATCTGCCTATTACTAGGTGAAGGCAGTATATCTCCCCCAAAGTGTGAAGACTGTAATTTTTACTGCATGAAATATGCTTCATGGCTCCCACTGTGAATCCTGGGTTGGAATAATGACACAAGGTCAATTCCGGATTACCCTGTTTGACAGAAAGGCAGAAACAAGGTCCTAGTGTCATTCAGGTCCATTATGGCACGTTGTCAAGGTCAGAAAAGCACAGATGCTTTTCTGAAATCACTGTGGTTTCCCAACTTACCTACTCAACTACTCGAGTATAGCTCTACTGCCAAAAACAACAGGCATTGGCTGAACATCACTAGAAGGGTGCTGCCTCCCCACTTCACTCCAGTAAAGAGAAATGAAGTCTTATTAAGAAGAGAAGTCTAAGGATGGGTATGGCCTCCCATGCTTCTCATTTTTACACTAGGAAGGCTTACATTAAGCATGTACCCTTGCCTAAGTAACTTAATAAAACCCTATGTCCAGTTAAGACCCTAAAAGCACTGGTGATATAACAGAGTGGTGGAGCACTTGCCTGGTGTATTTGTTACTTTTTTATTGCTGTGAATGTACACCAGGACAAAGGCAACTTATAGAGGAAAGACTATCTTGGGGGATCTGGGAGGGGGGTTGGAAGCATGGAATGAGGGTTTGAGTCCATGATTATCATGGCAGCTGGCAGGCAGGCATGGTGCTAGAGCAGTAGTTGGGAGCTCACAACCTTATTCAGAAGCATGAAGCAAGTGAGAGAGAGCTAACAGGGAATGGTTGGACATTTAAAATTTCAAAGCCAACCCTTAATTTTTACTGCTGAGTAATACTCTAATATGTATATATTCCATACTTTCTTCATCCATTCTTCCATTGAAGGGCATCTACGTTGTTTCCAGGTTCTGGCTATTACAAACAATGCTGCTATGAACATAGTTGAGCATATACTTTTGTTATATGATAGGGCCTCTCTTGGGTATATTCCCAAGAGTGGAATTGCTGGATCCTGAGGTATGTTGACTTCCAGATTCCTGAGAAACCGCCACACTGCTTTCCAGAGTGGTTGCACAGGTTTGCATTCCCACCAGCAATGGATGAGTGTACCCCTTTCTCCACAATGTCTCCAGCAAAGGCTATCAATGATTTGAGCATTATACATTGCATACATGCATCAAAACATCACATGGAATACTATATTTGTGCATTTATTAATAACTATAAATAAATAAAAATGTAAAAGAAAAAAAAACAAAGCCAACCCTTAATGACATGCCTCCTTAAAAAGATACACATCTTAATTCTTCCCAAACATTTCAGAGATGCCCAATCATACTACAAAAGCATTTGTTCAACTATGTTCATAGCAGCACTATTTGTAATAGCCAGAACCTGGAAACAACCTAGGTGTCCCTCAATAGAAGAATGGATAAAGAAGGTGTGACACATATACACTTTAGAGTTTTACTCAGCAGTAAAAAACAATGACATCTTGAATTTTGCATGCAAATGGATGGAAATAGAAAACACTTTACTGAGTGAGACAACCCAGACCCAAAAAGATGAATATGGTATGTACTCATTTCCACAAACTGGGAACCAGAAATGCGAATGTATAAGTCTATGGGTTCATTCTCATTCAAACTAACATGCATGGACTCTGGGAATCAACAGTGAGAAGCTTGGGGCTCAATGGTATGACCATAGTCTAGCATAAATGAGACTACAATTTTTTATTTTATTTTATTTTATTTTTGTCTCGAGACTGTGTCTCGAGAAACTGTAATTTTGGAGCCTGTCTTGGAACTAGCTCTCGTAAAGCAGGCTGGTCTCAAACTCACAAAAATCTGCCTACTTCCTCCTCCTAAGTGCTGGGATTAAAGGTGTGCTTCACTATCACCCAGCATGATACTACCATTTTAATTCTCATAACAGAGAGAGGTGTGCTGGAAGAGGAATAAAATATGATATACATGAAAATGTCATAAAGAAATTCATATTTATGTACTAAAAATGATTGAAAGTAGGAAGAGGAACTGGGAAGATAGCTCAGCTGAATTGTACCTGCCTCACAAGTATAAAGAGCTAAGTTTGGACCCCAAGTACCCTCATAAAAGCCAGGTTTAAACATGGAGCATATATATGGAACCCCATTGTTTGAGGGTAGAACATGTAAAATCAGATCTCATTGACCGGTCAGTCAGTCAGCCTAACTGAACTGATGAAATATATTCAGGTGTAATGAAAGACTCTGTCTCAAACTAATTAAATTAACTAACTAATGTATTAATCAACCAATTAAGAAGAGAACATACAACTAGAGAAGATGCTAACATCACACAGGTGCCATTATTTTTTTCATAAAACCTATACCGTGGATTAATGGGGCTTTGGAATGAGGAACTTGTACCCAAATGCAACCATTGTGTAACAATCCATAAATATGCTTTTGTACAGTGGTTCAAAGTTTGTTCCATTGCAGGCTGGACCTCCTTGCTACTAAAGAGCCTGAATTGCATTCTGGAGTGACCCACCTTTGTTGACTATCCCACACAATATAGAACACCTGAAAATACATGCATGGGAATTACTTTTATATACAACCTAACATTTTAATTTGTATCTAATTATGCAGACAAATTTGGGTATTAGTCTAAAAGCAATTCATTTTTCCATTATGTTCTGAGTTACACCATCATCTTGGGGAGGGAGAAACTCTATCAGGGGTGGCTCCACTCCCAGTGTGCTGGGATTCTCACCATCAGATTTGCCTGTAGCCTGATCTCATGGAGGCACTTTCTCAATTGAGGCTTCCTCCACCCTGATGACTCTCACTTCTGTCAAGTTGACATAAAATTAGACAGAACATCTGACAAGAAGCTAAAATTTGGAATCTATAAGGAATTCAGCATATATTAATTTAACAGAGTTGTTTGTGGTTTGTGGAGAACTGCGTACAATTCTTTTAGCTTAGAACAGTACACAGTCAGGGGTTCAATCAAGAGGGGATGGAACTTCTAGTATAATTAGGAGTTTTTCAAATGATATAATCTAAATATTCCCCAAGAATAAAGATTTGGACACTTTTATGCATTGACATTTCCACACAGAAAATGGTTCAAAAATATGCACTGAACTTTGGGGGTCTTTAGGACAATTCAATAAATCAATGATAAGGGCATTTCATCTCTTTTGTGCTTCTTCTGAAGGCCCCTCTATCTATCAGAGGGTTCTTGTTTCCTGGACAGAACAGATTTTCCCTGTCTGAGTAGCAATTGAAAGTATGGAAAATCTGATTTAAATTCTATCTTGGCCTATATTCACATGCAACTTTTCAAACTTGTCTAATTATTTTAATATAATATTGTATCTCAAGAAAGCCAGTCTGTCATTTACCCTCCCTGGCCCCAGGTCCCCCTTCAATAACTACAAATGTAATTTTAAGTACAAAAGATAGATCAAAGCTTTTCTTTGTTTATTTTGGATTCAGTTTGGGAAGGTAAAAATCAGAGAACTGAATGGTATCAGGACCAAGCATGACTGAGTGGCAAAACCTAGTGATGACTGTGTAAATACTCAGCATAAAGCACGGAAAGTTATTCTTGTGAGGAACAGAAACATTGATGTTTGAAACTATTACATGAAAAGTAAAGAATAACTTTTCTAACATGGACCAGATTGTTAATGATTAAAACAGCATCAAAGTTGAATGGACTCTGTCAACATTACAACATTTCAAAGTTACTACATCAGACACTACAATCAAAGCCAAGCAAGGTTTTTTCTCCAAATTTTATCTATTCATTTTCTCTTGCATATTCACAAAATGTTGGAACTTTACCTAAGGATACCTCCTACCTCATTTCTCTCTAACCCTGCCTTCTGCCT